TCCCCGCAATCCTTCCGGGCTTGAAATCCACTCCCTGGGTTCAAATCCTGCTTCAGCCACTAACACCCAGTTTCATACCCTCTCTGTGCCTCAGTCTTCTCATCTGTGAAATGGGAATAATGATTAGACCTACCTCGTTCCTTTGTTGCAAGCTAAATGAGAACATGTGTGAAGAGCTGGAAGTGTGCCCGCACACAGGGAGAGCTATGTGAGTGTCAGCTGTGATGTGACAGGCGGGCGCTGCTGCTGACCTGCTTCTGAACAGTCCAGAACCCCCACCCCATGTTACCAGAGTGAGCTCTCCAACGTCCACACCCCACCACACCTGGTGTAGTCCCTCAGGACGCGCCGCTGGCTTTGCGAGACACACCGGCCCCACAGTCCAGCCTCTCCACTGCTGCGCTCTTCCACCCGTGCTCTCAGCCTTGCCATGCGGCTCCGTACCTTGGCTCCTCTGCCCCTGCCAGGCCCATGCCGGAAGTGTGCGCCCATCACAACTGCCACATACACACACACCGTGGACACACCATCCACACACACACACGTCATGCACACACCCACCATGCATACACACACGGTGTACACACCATACACACACCCACCACATACCCTGTATACATACCATACACACACACACACACATCATACATACACCCACCATGTATACACATTCCGTGTACACACCATACACCCACACACCACATACATACACACTGTGTACACACCATACATGCACATACATGCACATACCAACCACACACACACTCCACATACACACACACCGTGTACATACTATACACACACTCAGGCACACACCCACCATGTACACACATACCATGTACACACCATACACACACATACATAATGTACACACCCACGGCATACACAACATACAGGCACACACACCATACACACACCCAGCACATACACACACACCATGTACACACCATACACACACACATCATGCACATACCCACCACATACACACACACCATGGGTACATACACATGTTATGTACATATACACACATACCATATGCACACATTATGTACACACACACCACTCACACACATGTACGTACACTGCACGCGCACACACAGCACATGTGCATACCACACATACCATGTACATACATGCTATATACATACATCACATACACACCGCACCATGTACATAGCACAGACACACCACATATATACAACCACACCATGTACACACCACATACAAACACACTATGTACACACCATACATGTACACACCATGTTCACACACCATGTACGTACACATCACATAAATACATCCTGCACACATACCATAAATACATACACATACATACTACACACCTACCACAAACACATCATACACCCACCAGATACATACCACACTCAAACACACTCACCATACATACCACACATGCCACGTACACACACATCACATACACACACATACACAGATACCACACACATTCACACACACACACACACACTCACAGGGAGTCAATTCATACTCCTTGTTAAGACTACTTAATATGTCCTCTCCTCCAGGAAGCTATCCTTGACTACTCCACAGAGGCAAGCCAGGGAATCCTTGGAGGTACCATGACCCCAGTGCCCCTTCTTGTGGAACCTCTTACTCAACCCTCTACTTCATTTACTGCTCCCTCCTCTCCCCACCATGAGCTTTCAAGTGTTCTTGTCGCAGGCCCCATTGGGCTTGGGCAGTGCAGACAGAGTATGAGTTCCATTGCTCACTTCTTCCCTGAGGGGTTTCCCTTCAGATCAGATCACCTTGACCTCACTGAGACCCAGGGAGGTGCTTCCCATGCTCTCCCTGGCCCTGGCCCCAACAGTGTGCGGTGGGAAGGGCCAGAGGAGGGAAGGTTGGGCCGGCGGGCACGGCTGTGGGCAGGCCCTGGCGGATGGTCTGGAGCTCGGAGGAGGCTGCTCTCTGCAGGTTCGGGTCTTGCTGAGGAGGTGGGAAGGCTGCACAGCACCTTCCCCTCAGTCCTTCTCAGAGGGCGAAGTTCCCGGGAAGCAGTGGCCCCTCGGGGATGGTGGATCACCCAGCAGGGTCTCCTTGGCCCTGGACCCCTAAGACAGGTGGGCCTCACCTCGGTCCTCACCCCAGGGAAAGAAAGGCCCTGCTGTGGGTGAAGCCCCTTCAGGGAAAGAGGGACCCCACCTCGGTAAGCCCCACAGCTGGTTGTGGGCAAGGAGGGGGTCCCAGTGGGCACACCCAGCCCCTAGCACAAGGCCAGGCATGCAGCTGGTGCTCAATGGCTGTTTGTGGAATGGGCCTGACTTGACTGTTGGCCCTCTTAGTCTGCAGGCTGCTGCCCCACCCCAATACCAGGGACAGGAGCTGGGCCACCTAAGGCCATGCCAGTGTTCACGGGGTGCTGGGCCAGGACAAGGGTGGCTAGTGGGTGTCTGGCTGCTCACCCTGGCATGAATGCCAGCCCTGCTCCGTCTGTTGTGATTCAGGCAGTGAGGATCCTTCTCACTGGGCCTGCTCAGTGCCCACACGATGTCAGGTACTGGGGACACAGAGACAGCACAAGCCCTGCTGGGGGCAAGGTGAGAGGGACCCAAGAGTCCAGGGCCAAGGTGGAAGGATGCACAGGCCCTGGCCTGGAACTGTGGGAAACAAAGACGAAATGAGAGCTGGACCTGCCCATCCAAGGGGTCTTTGGACCCATATGGAATTCCACCTATAGGGCTAACCAGGCAGAGAACTTCAAGACCTGGGTCAAACCTGGGACTGAGAGGGTCAGGCAGCAAGAGCTCCCTTCTGGCTGGGAGTCTGGGAAGGCTGCCTGGAGGAGAAGGCATTGGAGCTGGGCCTTGGGAGCTTGGACGTGAAGATAGAAGGAATTCCACGCAAAGGCCACATAACCCCCAGCGAGTGTGAACGGCACCCAGAAGGATTGAATCATTATTCTGGACAGAAGATGGGGAAGGAGGGCTGGGGAAGCCATCTGCCCCCTCCTCCAGCAGCTCAATTGTGGACTTGGCTCTACCAGCAGAGGGGAGCCAGTGAAGGTGCCAGCAGGAGGGCCCTGCTCAGACTGCACTTGCAGTGACCTAGCGGGTGGCTGGGAGGCTGAGAGGGCAGGGAGGACTGGTGCCCAAGTCCTGGCAATTTGGGGCCCCCTGAGCCAGGCATGGTGTTAGGAGGAGAGGGGAGACTCGGGAGGCTAGGGTCCAGAGATGGAGCGAGGGTGGGTGGATCGAGAGAGAGAGGCAGCCACCAAGAGCCAGTGGGTTTCTGAACTGTGTGATACCTGCCTGGGTTCCTGGCTGGGGGCAGGGGGCAGGTGCCACCATGCTCCCTCGGGACCCTGGCTTCTGTCCTCTGTGCACATAATCCCCACAGGGAACAACAGCTGGCCAAGGGGAGGGGGCAGAGGCAGACCCCCTCGCCTCCTCTACAGAGCCTCACTGCTCACTCCCAGGGCCGGAAAAACTGGACCTCTCCTGCCCAGACTCTTGGGAGCAGGGAGAGAAGTAGACCACAGTGTTATGTGCTGATGGAGGGTCACAGCATGCACTGAGTGTCTGCTTCTACCCAGCCTGCCCTCAACACAACCCTGCAACTGGGTTCCATCGGCCCCACCTGGAGGGTCAGTAGCTCAGAGGGGACAAGTCACCAGTCCAGGGTCATACAGCCGGCTGGCAGCCCCTGGACCAAGGCCGTGCATACCATCCCCTGAGCCTACCCGGCTCAGAGCTGTGATCCTCACTATCCACACCCATGTCCCCCTGCAGGGAGCCGTGAGGCCGCCTTCACGTATGCCATCACCGCAGCAGGCGTGGCCCACGCCGTCACCGCCGCCTGCAGCCAGGGCAACCTGAGCAACTGCGGCTGCGACCGCGAGAAGCAGGGCTACTACAACCAGGCGGAGGGCTGGAAGTGGGGCGGCTGCTCCGCCGACGTGCGCTACGGCATCGACTTCTCTCGGCGCTTCGTGGACGCCCGTGAGATCAAGAAGAACGCCCGGCGCCTCATGAACCTGCACAACAACGAGGCCGGCAGGAAGGTAGGGCCGTGGCGGGCGTGCCCCGGGGTCTATGGGCCCAGATGCCTCCAGTGGCTCAGGCAGTTGATCCCCGAGTCCCCACGGGTGTTTGGAGGGTGAGCCGGGCCTGGCCAGGTCCCCCATGTACATCACTCTGGACCTCCCAGCAGCTGCTGTTCCCACTCCTGAGGTGTGAACACTGAGGCTCTGAGTAGTGAGGTGATGTGTCCATGCCCCCAGTTGGCGGGTGGCAGGGCTGAGACAGGGGCCCCGTTTCCACGCAAGGTGTGAGCTGGGCCTGGCTGGGGACCTGGGGTGGGGACACCCTGCCCCTGATGGCCCTGCTCCAGAGGCCAGGCCAGTATACCAGGAGAGACTTCCTGGAGGAGGCGGCCCTTGGCTTAGCGAGCCCTGAGAGACACAGCAAGGGGATGCTCTCAGAAGACAGGGGCA